TCAAAATGTACGGTGTGGTCATTAATCTTGGTATGAAAACTGAGGTCTTCGTTACACTATTGCTTTTACGGGATTTTTTCCTAAAGGGAAGAGCGCAAGCGAGAGGCACGCGTTAGTTTTTTAAACTGCCATATGAATTGGGTCTTAAGCTAGCTATATTTATCGTTCCTTCTTGGTATATGATTAAGGGGTAGTTTTTACACATAAACATGCAAAAGCCATCTGAAACACATTCAAAATGCACGCTATATAATGCAAGAAGACACTTCGATTTCGAGTTATTCGTTTCAACCGCAGCAATAGATAGCTTATTGTTAGTATGAACCTCTGACACTCCGTTCTTGAAATATGACCAATTTTAACTAATTACGATAAGGGTAGAAATGAATTCCCTTCGTTGAGATCTTTCATTAGAGTGGCATGAAAGATCAGCCGCGCCTCACCCACCATTTTGATAAGGGGTGAGAGAGGAGGGGGTAGTTCATAGAAAACAGTTCCTTTCGTTGATACTTTTCATTAGAATACCAGAATACCATGAAAGATGAAACCGATTTATAACCCCCCCCCCCCCTCATTCACTCATCTCGTAAAACAGTCACGAAAGAAAGCTATGCTTTATATAAACTAAAGCTCGCGCACCAACTGTGCTTCTTTACATAAACAAAAATAAACAGTAATGAAATGTACTGAAGGTAAAAAAAACGGAACATCCGTACTAGACGTCTTAAAAATACGGGGTCGGTGTCAAAATTCAAGGCTTTTGAGAGCGCAAGTAATGGATATGATTTGATCGGAGGCGGTTATCCGTAACCCATTCCCCTATAATTATACTTATCCAAATACTCGGAATGAAATCCCTAATTCGGGAGTCCGGCAATGGCCTTTTATTCCTTGGAATGTGAGGTCAAACGGCCGGGTCTCCCTATCACGTTGATATTTTCCTTAATTTGCGCAACTTTGCCTGTTTAATGATGGATGGGAATACTTTCTTCATAATGAAGCGCCGCTAAACTTAAAACGCCTCTAGATATCCCCCCAAATTGGTTGTCGCATGTAAAAGTTATGCACGTTTTACTTTCAGAAACACCATCTCGGGAAATAACTTCTGGGGGGTACCCCCACCTCCTTAAGACAACAAAATTTGACAGCCAATTTCAAGACTCTAGGACAATTCCCTTAAATCTAGTTCCAAACCACAGAAGTGGGTCCGGACGGACAGACAAACGGCTTCTCTAGTTTACTAATTTGCAGCAAATGAAAAACTACCACATTTTTAACAACACCTACGACATACTGTGAGATGACCACATTTACCCTCATTTTACTTGACATTTATCAAATGAGTAACTCTTCATCCTCTGTCATAAAAACACAGTATTAATATTTGTAATTTAGCTAACAAGAAATCAGTGGTTTAATTCCATCCTGTACCTATATGTCGATAACTATTGATATATCGATATGTCGATAACTATTGATATATCGATATGTCGATAACTATTGGTACGATAAAATTATGTTATTGTTGAGATTTCAACGAGCACTACTATTTTTATTAATAAAATCCATTTTCGGGTTTACTCTCGTGTAAATTTACTATTTTTAGTTGCTCGACGTTTCGGAAACTTAACTTTGCCCCCTTTCTCAAGAGAAGCGCTACCGCTACGTCACATCATCATCCATGCCAAATAAACGCAGTAATAAAATCTTTAGAAAATAGGTCTTTTCGTCTTACTGACGATTGCTCAAAAAAAGAAGCACTTCAAAACTTGAACAAAATGTTGCATCAAAATGGCTACTCTTTAGATAAAATAAAGAAGACAATCAAAGGGTGTAATCATGGCCTATGTATCGATATCTGATTGATGGTTACAGAGGACCAGTCACAAAAAAACAGAAAAAGCTAAGAACACTTCAAATTTAGATATACAGTTTCAATTGATTGACATTTACGAAATCTAACAAAAAACTCTTGATAAAGGTAGCAAAGAAACGTCGAGTAACTATTAATCACTTTTAGTCACTTTACACGAGAATAAACCGGAAAATGGATTTTATTAATAAAACTCGATAAGATAACTATCCCTGTCGATAACTATCGATACGTCGAATATTTCTCTCAAATGAGACGTGCAATTACCGCTTAATTACAGCGGTAATTGCATTGTATAAAGCTAAAGTACTCGATACTTATATCGATAGGTGAAAACTATCGACATATCGATATATCGATAACTATCGACATATCGATAACTATCGTATCGATAACTATCGAAATCTCGATAACTATCGAAATATCGATAACTATCGAAATATCGATAACTATCGATATATCGATAACTATCGAAATATCGATAACTATCGATATATCGATAACTATCGAATCGACATGTCGATAACTATCGACATATCGATAACTATCGATATATCGATAGGTATCGATATATCGATAGGTATCGATATATCGATAACCATCGATATTTCGATAATTATCGACATATCGATAAGTAAAATATATCGATAGGTAAGTACCCGATACTTATCGATAGGTGAAAACAGTTATCGCCCATCCCTATTCCGGAGCTATATTTCCTTCTATCAGGAGTGTGTAACTGAAGGTAGAAGTGCCTACTTTAATTTTGACGCCGCTTTAGCCGCCGATAAGGAAATCAGTTACCGATATAATTGATCATTTTTCTAATTATTCCCGTAAAAATATTTTAATTGTTTTTTAAGTGAAACTTCTTTAGGCCCGGTAGTAGGCCGGGTAGGGTACGTCGAATGGGACAAGCGCCAGTGGTCACGGTCACGAAAATGATGAAACACTCGGAGGGGAATGAATGGAGAGAGCACGGGTTCCTCCACTTCTCATAGCCACACGGTGGAAGTCGGAACACGGCCGAGGCAACACATGAAACGCTGGGAGGGGAATTTTTGTCAGACAATGCACCGTCTTGTTCAGTTCTGTTATAGTTACTTATTGGCAGATTTCAGTTTCCCTATTGTATTTCAAAACGAGCATTAAAGCGGCAACGTCGTGACCTTTATTACGTTATCGCTGACCTTTTGCAATTGTTCCGATGTGAGTATAATTAACCGTTTTTTTAATTTTTTTGTTACAGCAAATGTTTTTTTTTTTATTGCCTTTATTTTATAGTGGGCGGAGTGTTATCCGAGCCAGTCGTGAGTAGTCTCATTAGAAGCACGCTAAATTTCAAGACCAGTTACAGATTTTTATATTTATCGCAGGCCGCACAATTAAGCAAAAAAGTTTTAATTTTTGGAGTAATCAACCGAATATATCGCCCGGCTAGGAAAATCCGAGTTCCATTTCCACATCTTTATATAAGGTAACAGCAGATTTAGAGGGATCTTTTTGGCAATTTTTCGCTGTACTCGCGTACGTTGTGAAATTTTACTTATCGCACTGTACCGTTAAATTTAAAGGTAAACGTTTGCTATCTTTCTTCCGCTAATTATACAGGGTGGCCATTTGAAAACGAAACAGAGCCTATTTTGGGGACCTCAAAACGTTTATGAAAAAATCCTCGGACCCGTCAATTTTTTATCCAAGGGGGAACCATTTTTTTGCTAGTTTCGCCCCCCTGGGGGCAAAGCTATAACGGGGGTGACAAGTGCCCCCAAAATTTTAAATCGAATGGGGGGTCGAGTGATACCTTATTTTGAAGGTATTTTTATGTAGATTATAACTCTTAAGATTTAAATCAATTTTATTTTAAGTGCTTACAGCTAAACTCAATCAAGTAAATGTTGAAAATGTTGGCCTTCGACTTCCATACAATAATACAGGTTTTGTTCAAACCTTTCCCGTACTTTTTGCAAAACTCCTGGGGTGATTTGACGACATTCATCAATTATTCTTTGTCGCAAGTTGTCTAACGATGTTGGCTGACTAGCATACATTCTAGTTCTTAAATGCCCCCATAAAAAAAATCTAACGGACTTAAGTCCGGGGAACGAGGAGGCCTTTCAATACATCCTCTTCTTCCAATCCATTGTCCTGGAAAGTTTGGTCCAAATATTGATGAACCCCTGCAGCATAGTGGGGTGGCGCACCATCTTGCTGAAATACTAGACGATTTCCCAAGTACTCGTTATTTTCTAGTATCTCCACTTGCGAGATAAATAGAAGGGGCCTAGGATATGGTTACCAAAAATGCCAGCCCAAACATTCAATTTTTCGGGATGTTGTGTATGCACCACACGAAATATTCTGGGATTTGAATCAGCCCAATAGAAAAAGGAACATTTATTTCAACTCTTTCAGGAAGTGGATAAACCATTATCACTGTTCAATGTACCGATTTTGCAACTAAATAACTTTAAAGTGCTATTTGTCACTACTATGATTTGACAACAACAATTGACAATCACTATTAAACTTCGAAATGTTGCTATAATAACGCTCTCAACAATAACCAAAATTTAACTAATTCATTTACATTTTTTTTCATAAGAAAATGTCGACACGTTTTTATAACTTTTATTAGCCCCTGTATCGGCTAGGCAAATTAGTAGCGATTTAAAAGTTAAGGGTTATAATCCACATAAAAATACCTTCAAAATAAGGTATCACTCGACTCCCCATTCGATTTAAAATTTTGGGGGCGGTTGTCACCCCCGCTAGCGCTTTGCCCTTGGGGAGACGAAACTAGCAAAAAAATGGTTCCCCCTTGGATAAAAAATTGACGGGTCCGAGGATTTTTTCATAAATGTTTTGAGGTTCCCAAAATAGGCTATGTTTCGTTTTCAAATGGCCACCCTGTATAGCTAAAAGATGCCAAGTTTTATGGCAAGTTAATTAAAATTTCAAATACATGCCTATAATAAATGTGCAGTGGTTGTGGTTAAGGTCAGGTAATGGGGTAAACCTCGAGTAAACGTAAATTTTCGCAAAAATACATTATGATGCACAAGGTTTTTCTAAGTGGTTAAGTCCTCGAAGATGGATGATACTTAAAATAAGTATAGGTACGTACCATATTTTATATCAGCTGGAAAGGTTTGTAATCCGAGGACGTGCATGAAGTGCATCTTCAATGAATTTCCCATCGAAGAAGCAGTAATTGAAGGCACTGGTAAATCCAAAACTAATTTTGATGAATGTTCAGTAGGAGGAATCCAATTGGGTTGCCATCTCCGTCGCTCAAGTTTTGATAACTCTACAGCTGTTATTAAAAGAAACCAATTAACACCATGGAAGTATTGAACATAATTGGCTTATAATAATAAGTCATGAAAAAAGGTACTTATATGGATGGCACAAGTCTGACTGATGCACCAATCGAATTTCTTTACAATGCTTTAAGCTTTCATTGGAGGCAGCCAAACTTTGGGTTAGAGGGGGACGCCATAGATTAAAAAGAGTAGAAAGTTATTTAAAGAAAAATGAGGGGGTACTGCAACGGTCAATTTTTCAAAAGGGCCATTAGTGCAACAGCGAGTGAACCAGCATCCCATCTGCGCAGTATGGAATGTGTATTTAAAAAAACAGATATACTTACCGTTTCTCTTCCTATGCGTTACAATCCCAAATAACTTCAGGAATTGTACTTTCTCTTTGGCGAAATCCAACACTAAGGGAGCGTCATTTACATTTACTGCCTCAACATCGGCAACGTCGCTTTCATAATCAGAACTACAGCATGAACTCGAACTGGAGCTATCTGAAAATCCAAATACTGGCACGCCAAAGTTCGTAACGGTTCCTTTATGTGTCGTAATCCTTTCAAAGACAATTCTTTCCCTTTTAATTTTTGCAGTATCACTTTCACTTACTGATTTTGATTTTATGCAATTCATTTTTAAATGGCGACGTTCTCTTAGTTGTTTCCTCCTTTTTGTCGCGATATCTATTTTGCTAACTTTTTGCTTTTTTAAGGGAGGTTGATGACAGTTTACTGCAGGCACATTTAGCACAACACACGAACTTTCGTTGCCCATTAGTGTAGGTTGAGTATTGTTCTCATCGTCCACGAGTGCCTTGTTATTGGCACTCTGTGATAACAAATCTTTGATTGTTATATTACCCATGCTTTCTCGTTCCTGTACTTGCACATTGAAGGTACTGGCCGTCGAATATGGCAAATGAAGGTCCCAAAAAGACACGGCACTTTTACATTCGTTTGTACCGATTTCCAAATTGGTATTTGTAGCTGGCTGTAAAACTGGAGGCTGCTTGGAATGACTTACACCATTAAAAAGCTTGTCACTTTCTACAATGGTAATTTTGGAGCAATCGAAGTCCGATGATAGAAAAGTTTGTACAGGATAACTAGGCGAAGATATAGGCAGTTGTGGACTATGTGACTGCTGAATGCTGCAATTTACTGGTGTCTGAGCGTGCTTAATTTCTCCGCTCCTATCTAAATTTCTGCACGTGGTAAGTGTACTGGTACTCGAATTGCTCGTCATAGTTACGATTGTTTTGCAAATTGGGTTTGGATACGCTTGAAGTGGAGTATCGCCAATTTTATTCGCAATCCCGAATGACGCATTATGTAAAAGAACTTCTGTACCAACAGATGGATAGAGAGTAGTGGAACATTCTTTATTTTTTGTTGTATTGTCGTTGCAATTAGTTCCACTACTGGCAATTTCATAATCATTGCGTTGCTTAGGCAAGTGAAAATTAGGAAGAACATTCACGAATGTAGTTTTTTTAATTAAATTTTCGACATCGAAAGGTCTTCCTTTTTGATCATCTGCAATATTACCATGGGTATTAGTAGGATCATTATAATATTGCAGGTTTTCTGACTGTTGACAGGCTGTTGTAAAACTTATGGGAGGCTTCCTAGCTAAAACAAATCGATAAATTATATCAAAGTCTAGAGCGATTAGAACATGCACACATTTGACAATGTGTTCATCTACTCAGCAAGACATAAACTTACAAAAGCGAAAAAGAAAAATAATCGATTCGACAAAAGCACCACTATAGCATGCATCGGCAGAACTTTCATCGCAAATCTGAATATTTTGTTGATATAATGTGTGTTGACAAATCTGCGGTACTTAAGTTGGATATAAGTCAACTGAACGTTGAAATACGTCAACGCACACTTTCTTCGCTATTTTTTGGCCTCTAGGTCATAGCAAAAAAAAACATTCAGACCGAAAATGTTAATTTGTTGCATATTTCGCACCAAATCGATGTAGGTACGTGCAATTGAGTTCGACTGTCGTGTGTAAAAAGGCGCTTGCACCCAAAATGTTACCCCATCCCCCATTTCTTTGGTTTAAACGAATTACATCTATGGAAACTGTAAATTCCACATGGTTATAAGATTCAAGCCATCACTTTGGACAACATGCTTGGGAGGGACTCGTACCTACTTGCTGTTCTTGGGCCTATATCCCAATTATAGGAACAGTGAAACTAGTATCCGCAACTACGTCAATTTGATCTCTTGAAGGTGTGGGTCGACCCTTAAAATACCTAAATTTTACTCTAGATGAACATCGGCGGACGTCTGACTTCAGCACCTACACTAATTATGAGTCACCCTGTATGTCATATTTCAATTATTTTTGACGTTAAATATGGTTATAAATTAGGATTGAACGCAAATCTGTATCATATTAGTTGAATTCGAGGTCAGCTTTGTTTTGTATCAGAATTATTTGATGTATGGTTTTATTTTAATAATTGTTTTGTTTATTTTGAGTTGTAACTGCAAATTTATTTTGTGTTAGTAAGATAAGAAACCTCAACGACGCATTAATAAATTAAGGAAGAAAAGTGGAAAAAGTTTTGAATAAGCGAACCCAACGTTAATCCTGGGTTTTTTTGGTGGTGGACGTTGAAATGTATTCCGTTGCTTTTTAGTTGACGTCAATTATGTTTTTTGAGAGAAAAAAATTATAAAGTGTTAACAATTTGGGTACAAACTCCTTACAGACAAGTAAATATATATCAAAAGAGTTCCCACCTCTCAAGAAGGTGCTTCATCCCCTTTTGGTTCAAAAACCACCCCATGATGATTGTGGTAGTTTATAGTTACAATGCGACACGTCAAATTTAACAACTGTTTGCTACCATTTTCATTACATTATCGCGTTTTGTCGATAAAACATCTGTTAATTTCATAACGAACAATTATAGAAGCGTAACATCCATAAGCCTCACTGTGAGTTATTCTGTATACCCAAAAATGCCATCGGATTTACCAAGAAAAAGTAAGTTCTAATCTTATTCGTTTTGAATGAAAAAGAGATAATGGTGGATCACTTTTACGTAGCAGCAAGAGAGAAAAATTGGTATATGTAACCAGTTTCATTTCACAGAGAGTTGCAGATGCATTAAATATTACCCTGCAAACAGTGACTTCTATTTTGCAAATTGACGCAAGACGTATTTAATGGGTCCAACAGTTCCTTAAGAAAAGTTGTTGCAATGGGTTTCCGCTATCAAAAAGGTAATCCCAGAAAAGGTTTAATGGAGTTACTCCATATTGTAATGCATGTGTCTTTTTGGATGAAACGTGGGTAAGTGAGTCATGGCAAGACGACAGCGCAAAAGGCGTAACCAAAATTAAACCCGAGGGACGCAGGTAACAATATCATCTTATATCTATTTGAGATATATGGGTGTACATGCCGGAAACCTGAATGGTTTCATGACCGGAGCATCTTTAATTTTCACTTCAAAAACAAATGATGCATTAAAGGTGGAATTGCTGGAGATTGTTGTTTTCTTAAATTCCATGCATGTTTATTCCCCGTAATATATTCAGTTTCGAGACTAAAAATTTGTTATTTCATAACCAAATCTTCAAAACGGTATGCTGTTGATGAGATGGCATTAGGAAATGGACATGCAATACTATAGTTGCCTCCCTACCACTGCGTTTTCAAGCCCATAGAGAATATATGGGGCATTTGCAAACAACAATATAAACGACACAAAGGCGTAGACGGTTATAGCAGAGTACAGTGTTTATATATGTGACAACAAGCCATTGATGCAGTTACACCTGATATGTGGAAACTCACTGTAGAGTATACCAACAAAATATTTTTACCGCCACTGAATCATACTAATATTGGAACGCGCGCTCCGTCTGACAGCATAATCCGAGAGAGAGAGAGAGGGCCACAAGGGCGGATCTCTGTCCTACTCTCGCGCATGTATCGAGGTACACGTCTGTGGTAAAAAGGCAGTGGTTTTTACCAGGACGAAAACAGGAAGATCAGCACAAGTTAGACAAATGTTTATCGCCCTTAGGACGTTCAACAACCAGCTGGAATGATGCACGTTGATGTTTTGTTGCCTTTGTTAATTTAGTTCGTGTATTTGTGGGGGCTATGCCAGGGTTTTTGTCCCCAAGAAGGTTTCTCTGACATCGCCTGGTTGCCTGCGTAATATATTTTATGTTTTCATCTTTCCTTAGGCACAAAATTATGAGTTTTATTCAATTTCCTTTCCCATTTGTGTATAAAAAGTACCGCCAGTTTTAACACCGACTGATACTCAGGTTCGAAAGTGCAGCGAAACGTCCGTCGTTTTGACATGAAAGTAACAGTGGCTCTGCTCGTGGGTATGAGGTAAATCAAGATTGCAGTCGCTTCTCGACTCCTACTGCGGGCGTTGTCAATACGAAAAAGCAATTAAAATGATTTTTTTTTAATTTTTCTTTTACGTCCAAATAATAATGACCAGTTTGTTAGTAAAATATAGCGACATAGGCAACCTGTTACAAATAATTACCGAAACATTGTTTAGTAATTGGTCAATAGAAGTCGTTGATGTAATGGGTATCCTACCCACAAGGCAGCACTGTCTGTATGGCTACCTACGTACGTATTTTCTTCCATTGATTGCATACTATGTAAACATACTTAGTGATGACTAAGGAAAATCTTACCACATCCCTCGTATGTTTAAGACCATATTCCATGAACCAGTACACAGAAAGCTAGATTTTTTCCCCGTTATATGATCTGAAATGCACATCATCTCTTCCTGTTATAACGTACTAATTAATTAATTACTGTATTCTCATTCTTTGGTAGTTCCATCTATGTTTCCCTTTAACTATGTAATGTAACAATAGTCGTAAGTTAAATTAAATACCTTGGCAGTATAAATTGATTATAATTAATTTGGTAGTATAAATTAAGTTTCAGCTACATTAAATTAAATACTGGCTTATGCCCACCATAATATAAATTACAGACTAAATCTTTGTACATGAAACATGTGTTTTTCTGTAATTCTACAAGTGTAAGTTCCAAAAGCATGTATGGTATTGTGACTATGGTTACGTGTATTTGCACAATTTTGTGTTTAATTAAAAAAAATACATTTTGTGATAACATTAAATTGTTATAGTAAATTTATTTATTGTTTTCATTAAACTATGTTACCTAAAGGAATAACTTTATTCCTTTTCATATTACGAAACGACTAACAATTCCCCTATGAAAATGCAACGTCAGATTTGGACAGTTGATTAAAATTTTTGGAGTTTTAAAAAATTTAGGTAAATTAAAACAATGCCAACAAGAAGGGAATCAGCGCGTAGACTGCATAGGCAGGTTCAAACATGTATAACAAATGTGCTTACTTGCCCAATACCATTTTTTGTAACCAAGTTAAATCCGTGACAAAGAATTTTGAAAATAAAACACCAAAATATTTGTGATTTATATTGGTTTCCAACTAAGAATGTTTGACTTTAACAATTTCCAAGGATGTTACAAGGTAAAATTGGTATGATATATGCAACTGTCCAATAGAATAATATTAAATACTATATCACAGAAAATCCATTGCATGCATTCTTTACACAATAAAAGAAGCATAAAGATGGAATGCAAAATATTGTGCAAAAACTAAATATAATTGATTCTATAATGGTCCAGCTTGTTGCAGGAAATGTCTAACTATTCAATGAATAAATTAAGGTTATACAACTTTAGCGTTCTTGCAAAAAAATTAACTATGACGACAGTAACAGCATATCACTAATAAAAAGCCACAGCCCACTTACTTTACAAAAGGTAGGAAATAGTTGAACATTTTCGGCAACATACTAAATTAATAATTATTTATAAATGCAACATTAATCACATACAATTAAAAAAGCATGCAATGTCAATAAAAATAATAAGAATAAAAAAAACCAACAAAAACCACGAGTTATTACCAAAAAATAAGTAATCTTCTGAAGTTTGATTCTCAGCCCGTAGGAGGGGTCAGCAGGCAGAATCTCCATTGTCACAGTTTCCCTCACCCGCATTAGATACTGCCGGATTTTCTTCAGCTTTCTTACCTTGCGCACTACTCACAGTTGATATCGCTACGTTCGCACTCGCATCACTACTCACGGCACTTGTGTTTACTATCGTACTTGATAATGTACTAGCAATTGTCACACTCGATACGTTAGGCGTTGCCGGAACTACATTTGGAATGCGCAACGAGTTCATGGGAGTACTCGGTTTTGGAGTGGTTGATTTCGCTTGAGGTTTCGGAGTCGACGGTTTGGGCGATACACGACTGCCCAATTGGCCGGGAGGAGCTAAGCTATTGTTGATAACGGGACCGGATGGCTGTATGACTGGCGAATGTTTTTGTTGGCTTAAATTTAATCCGTATTCTGGTCGAGACGTCGGCGGGTAAAATGTCGAATGCGGAGAATGACGTTGTAATGATGGACTCGAACGTGGTATGGTCGGATAGTTATGCAAGGAATTTGGTAAAGAATTAGGAGGTATTAAGTTAGAACTAAGCGGGGACTGTCTGGTGGAGGTCGATAGTGACATTGGGGATGAATACAATTCCTTAGGATGGTGAACTGATGGGTGTAGCATGGGCATTACAAGGGGGGTCTGTGATGAAATGTGAGTATTTGGAATATGCGTTGGAACACTTATATAAGGAACTTTTTCTTTTTCGCGATGAAGCCTATCTCTTTCCCTCTGCTCTCGCTCTCGTTGCTGATGTAACTCTCTTTGTTCTTGTAGTTCTCTTTCGATCTGTTCTTCCTTTCGAGCCAGTTTTTGTCTGTACTCCTCTTCTAATTTTAACCTAAAAATAAAAGTAAAAATACGCAAAAACGTGGAGAATCGGCCCTCACCTCTCGTGCATATATAGAGGCATTGGCGTTCCCGGTATCATATACGGAATATATGGAGACGCCATAGGCGGCCAAGGAGGTCTCAATAACCCCATTCGTTCTAAATACAATTGTTCATCTATTAATGAAAGGGGTGGGTACCCGTATGGAGGGTAGGCCGCTACATCCAAAGGTACAGGCAGCTGAGGTAGTCTAAAAAATCGCAGTTACATTTCCTGTAAGACACGATTTAATATTCAATACCTATCTTCGGCCCTGTATGGCTGAAATCCACTTCTCGATAAATCGGGTAGAGGAGAACAACCAGGGTACCGATCCGAAGACAATGTTGATGGATGTAGTCTAGATTCGGGAGGTCGAATATTCGATCCACTGCCGCCAAACAAATTAAGATCTGGGGCTTTTGGTAATTTTTCGCTAACTTGCACGTTGCCTAATTAAAAAAACAATGTTCAGTAAACAATTTGCATTAGAAGTTATTAACTCAATATTTAATCAAAAGTAACATTTGTTCAAGGTGATGATAACAATCAACAAATTAAATCTAAAAGTTTCTCTCACGCCGTAGAAAAAGTGGTGCAGGTGCAACTTCTCCACGTTTAAATCATTTGTTTAATCGCATATAACTGAACACACACACACATCATCAATGCATTGTAATAAATGAAATTTTCAAGATGTTATACTAGGTGATCCAGAATAACTGAAAACAGTTTAAATTTGGCGCTTAAAATGTTTAGTGTTTTTTTACTTAAAACATGGTTTTAACTAAACAGTAGTCGTTATCCATTGGCGGCGTTTTTTTTTCTTGTCTTCTTACCACAATCCCTGCGTTTTAAAGCAAAGGTCTTTGCAAGTGCAACATACTTTTGTTTAATTATAGGAAAAATTACAATTGCGAAAGAAAAATGATTACCTAAATCCCTTCGATGAGAATCCGTAGCGGACGGTGCAGTCGTCGTTGTCGGATGTTCACTTGTGGTAGGAACTGATTGCTGTGCCAAGTTTCTTAAAGCTGCTGCAAACGAATGTGAACCCTGTCCTTGACTAGATTGGCTCGTTCCCGAAATCGCGTGACTGCTGCCAGATCTATGCTTACTTACGGAATTTGTTGCCAACACTGTTTTGGTAGTTGTAGTTACACCTGAAATAACAATTTCACTTAGTATTATTACGAGGGATTTACACTTATGCCGTTGTAGCTTTACTTTAAACACGTTTTCTAAATTCAGAATGTGTGAGCTGCTGTATTGATTTTAATGTGAATCAGTGATTAGTTAAAACTAAATGTCACTTCTCATTATGATGTTTAGAAAAACTTGCCCTTAAACATTTTTAATTATTTTAAACATTTCCAACGGCAAATAATTCAATATGTATTTAATGCAAAATCAACATTGTTTGAGACCGTGGTCACTATATACTTTCAAATCTTCCATGCTCGCCCCGAGAATGGAGTAAGTGGTTCATAGCTATGCATCTAACCCATTGCACTATTTTTTATTTTATTTTATTGCCTTTATTTTATAGTGGGCGGAGTGTTAGCAATTTGCTACTCTTCCCACTCAACCCACTATACAATCACAAACAGCCATGCCTTACCTGGGATTCGAACCCAGGACCCTAGTAGCCAAAGTTAGAGCTTCTAACGCAAGCTCATCTGAGCTACGCAGGTCGGTCGTACAATCATCATTCCCCTTTGGTATTTAAGAAAGGGACAGAAGTAATATATCAACTGCATTATAAAACTCTGAACCTTTTTTTTGTCCCTGTGAGAAATGCAGATAACCTTTTCCAGTTACACTGTGCGTAAGTGTTTCATAGTTCTACTATTCCTTGAGTTAATTATTTCTCACCCATGAAGTGTTCCTTTGACTGTAACGGGTGGTTGGTTTGGACTTTTTCAATTTTATATTCTGATAAGCATAGGAAGATTTACGCATGTACCGCTTTATAGTGAACAGAAACAAAATTGCGCCTGCAAATAAAGGGCGAAATAAAATTTTTTTTTAATAAAAGGCGAAAAGCGAAGAGAGGTACCGTGTATGCGGGGATTTTAGACCGCAGAGGGGTTTAGCTTTTCAAAAAGACGCAAGTACTTTGTTTTGGTGTAAGAATTTTTAATACATATTTCGCATAATTGTAAGTTATCTCAGTTGTGCTAAATTTTTATTGGAGAAAATTTAAACAAATCGCAAGTGTTATCGGTTTCTATTGTCAGCATTCTGTTTGATTGTATTAGAGGAACATACCATACAAATTTGGATCAATCATTCCACAAATAAAACTTCAACAGTGTAAGTGCGTGTGCGGATGCGAATCGTAATAAATCACATCCCATTTGAAAATCAGTAGTTACTCGCCCCAAACCACCACGCCGCCACAACTCGCTTAAAATATACAAGATTTGTAACGTTATTGGAATTTCTAATTCTGTACTGATAATCATTGTTCTGCTCCTCTTTATCAGTCAGATTATTAACGAACTCCTAGCGAGTTCATAATTTTGCGGTGTCCGTTGGTTAACACGATATCTCGAAAACGAATGGATCTACCATTAAATTTTGCATGCGGATTCTTAATCAAATTTGTAGTAGATCGGGTGGAGGAAGGACGAGGGTAAACACATGTTCCCCTTCATGAAAAGTCTCAACGAAAGGAACTGCGTCGTCAACTACTGACCTTCTTCCTTTCTCCATATCAAAATCGAACGGCGGGGGGTTGCTTTTATTTATCCCTTATGGTACTCTACAAAGGAACTAATTTCTACTAAACAACGTCCTGCTCCTCGACCCCTTATTGTAATCGCTTATAATTCTTCATGTGAGGCGGGCGTCTGGAAGAAATATGTATATCCATTTTTTAATGTCAAAACTTTAGGAGCGATTATTTCAAGAAGGTAAAATGAATCGTCTAACGAGACGATATCTATTGGTGAGGTGGAAACAAATATCCCCAAAAACGAGGGATGAAATCGAGCCGAGCCAAGCTTTTTGAAACTTTAATCGGACCGGAATTTTTGGATGTCCAGCTCGGCTCGATTGGAGGTTAAGAAACTACTCATCAAGTAATTTTAACAAGTTAATTAAATATAAATAGAAGATTATGTGTGTCCACGAATTGAGTGCATATAAGGTGCATATGGAAAAAATGAGCCAAATCAATTAATATACAGGGTGTTTTTTTGTCGAATTCTGAAAATTTGTCAAAAGTAAATTGTTTTTATTTTAGCAGACATAATAAAATTGTATTAAAAAAGTTGTTTAGAATTAAAAGTAATGGAATACTTTCATGCAAATAGACCTTCTTTGATTTTTCATTTTTGTTACAAACATGAGTTCAAAAGTAATAGATGCTGATGAAAAGAATCAAATTAGGCTGATTTGTATGAAAAGTGAGTTTTCACTTAACATTTCATGTTAAAAACTTGTTTTACTACATTTTTGTTAAATCTTCTAATTAACTAATTTTCCGAATTCGGCAAAAACACCCTGTATATTAATTGATTGGGCTCATTTGTTTGAAACTAAGCAGAAGCGTTCCTCAGAACATGAAGAGTCAACTCTAAAAAAATTGTCATATGTATACACCTTTATATGCACTCAATCCGTGGATACAATGTATATAGGTATGTGTACATATAAACAAAGAAACTGATTTTTTAAAAATAAAAATATTTTTCCTAACTGCAAAAGTAGGTACAAGCGTCAGGTTTAAAGAAAGAAATTTTCGCCAACGCAAGAAGTGAAGCACTTAAGGTTCCTGATCGAGTATGTTTCTTTGCTTGTGTAGCATTTTCATTCTACTACCTTATAACGCAATTATTTACTAAGCTATTTCGGTTTTAAGAAATGCGCTTTATCTGTACAAGATGTAATGAAGCACTTAGTTTGATACTCAAAGTTATGACCATATCGTATATTTGTGGACTCGACCAGTTTTGCGGAACACCTGGTATCTAGAAGCGTTTTAAGGTTCATTACAAAAGTGAAGTATTCTGTGTTGGTTCTAGGAGTTGAAGAAAGAAGTTAAAAAAAGCTGTAATTAATTCGCCGTTTGCAACCGTTCCCGTCCAACTATTTCAATTATCTTTGTTGGGTCCGAAAAATCTCTTGTGATTTAGAAGACGAGGGTGATTAAATATTACATGATTTCAGATCCGTTAATTAGGGAAATATAGCCAATTTCAGTTTCCCTGTGCAATTTTTAAGCGAGCGTTAAAACTGCAAGGTCGTGCAGTGTATGTGATTGATCCGAAATTCCAGGTAACAAGGGGAATTTGGAAATTTCAACTCGTCCATTAGCTAATCAGATGTGTTGCAGCAAACCTCGTATGATTAAATTGGGCCGAGTGGCATTAGAAGCGAGCTGAATTTATTTGAATTTGCACAATTATTTAAACAAGTTTTAAACGTTTTCATGAGCGTTTGGTGCAATAACTGGAAAGTCCACTTTTCCCTTCCCTAAATAGAGAATTTAGTATAAATTTGGCGCCAGAGCAAGGATCAGCACCGTCCATCCCGGAATTAACCACTGGCGAAACAAACACAGTTCCTCCCTTAAAGAGTCAGCCACTGCCGAAACAACCATCAACCACCGCTGGAAGCAAGGTCAGTATTTTACTTGAAAATTGACACATTTAATTTTTCAACAATTTTGAACTTTTTCGTCATTTGCTGATCTCGTCCGATTCTTGGAGTTGCAGTTTACTCTGATTGAGTTTACCCAAGACTTCCGAGGCCGCCTGCAAACCGTTGCTACCGCTTAACATCTCTCTGTTTACAAAGCACAGTATTGTCTCTTTCTAACGTACAGTTCAAGTGCACGATAGTATGAACTGGCGAATTACAATGCTTCGAAGTGGAGCATTGGCATTTTTCTGCTCGTTTTTTGCGCATCCGTTTTATCAGTTCAAAGTGGGATGTGATGTGTTTAGACCGAATTCCACGGTTTAAAGAAATAATGACTAATCAGTCTCATGCGCAGCAAGATTGAACGTGAGAGCCATTAATTTATAAACAGATGAACAAAGTAATAATATTAAAGAAGAATTTGATGAAAATTCGCGTTCACATCAGTGACCTCTTACTCAATGAAAATAAACAAAACTGCGTTTAAACATCTACAACTTTAACCTTGGAGTGTGATCTATGCTCTCCCGTTTTGACATTTAACCCCAAGTTATTATGAAAGTAATTGACCATTAAAAAGGATAACAAAAAAAACTAGATCTCAATTTACAATAAAATTTATTCTCGCCCGAGACAATTATAAAAAAAACATTGAAATTTTGCGTCATTGGAACGATAAACCTCTCAAGTTATCACTACAAAACGAGATTACTCTACTAATTCCTTTCCAAAAACTAGTTTCCAAAAGTCAACAAGAAAAAATGAAACGTTTTCCAAAATCTGGTCGCGCAAACATCCCATTTGTCAATAGGTCTCGCAAAGGGTTTCAAGTTCAAAAGGGAAATCGGAGCTGACCGTAATGACCTATGACATTAAGATTACTTGACCTTAAACCTACAGAATGTTAACCTTAGACCTAGACATACATAATGTGTAAGAGAATTAAATTAACAATAATTAGTAAATCACACCAAAAACATTACACTGGGTTTAATTTCTGGCAAAATAAATAATTCAGAGGAATAGAACGGGCAATATCGTCATGATAAGACGTCGCATTAACAACCCTTATCACTAATAGGCAGGGAAATCGCGATATCCGCACAGTTCATTTGTGGGCAGTAAAAAAATGAAAACCATCTATTTTTATGTGAAAATCACAGTTGATTATTAAATGAAATTATCTAAATTTAATGTGTAGTGAGTAATGACACATAAGATCAGCTTGCCAGTTTGTAAAAACAATGTCACTCATTAGGGATAAGTATTACACTATATGTGTATGGGCGGGACCGGGCATTAGGCCGCCAGACATTAGGACGCAGACATTAGGACGCGGACATTGGACCGCAAAGGGAATAGATTGCAGACATTAGGCCGCGGACATTAGGACGCAGACATTGGAATACGTCTGGGTCACGTCCCCCCCCCCCCCCCCCCGACTAGGAATGGGCGATAACTGTTTTCACCTATCGATAAGTATCGGGTACTTACCTATCGATATACTTATTAT